AACTAGGCAATGGCTCTTGCAAACTGCGTAACGTGTGAAATAGAGCAGATTTTATACTAAATAGTACAAGCAAGGGCCCAAATTTGGGAAGTGGTGGTGAATCAATGAGTGAGGAAAATGCAATAGATGAAGGAATTAATGTGGGAAATGATAAACAATGACAGGAGGGAATAGAGAATGCAAATCTAAGAGCAAATCAGATATGACTAAATTATAGTTAAAAATAATAAGGACAAAATGTGAGACACTGTATTTGAATATGTGTAGCATATGAAACAATAGAGATGAACTTGCGCAAATTGAGATAATTAAGTACAATCTAGTGGCTGTAACTGAGATGTGGCTGCAGGATGACCTAAATTGTGTTCTGAATATTGAAGGCTATATGAGATTTAGGAAGGACAGGAAATTAGAAAAGGGTGGAGAAATGGCTTTGTTAATTAAATATGATATTATCACACTCAAGAAGGAAGATCTGAATTCAGAAAACCAGGATATAGAAGCAGTCTAGAGATGAGGAATGAGGAAGACAAGAGGTCATTTGTGGGTGCCCCCTAACAATAGCTACATGACAGGACAGGGTATCAAGGAAGAATTAATGGGAGCTTGGCAAAAGGGTATAGTAATTGCAGGGAATATGAACCTACGTGTGGATCAGAAAAATCAGATGGGAAAATGTAGTCTAGAGGAGGAAGTCATTCAATGTTTTCAGGACAGTTTCTTATACTAACATGTTATGCCACCAACCAGAAAGTAGATTATATCATTCCATATTTGACCAATGAGATAGGATTGATTACTGCCCAAATTACTGAGCCAAAAATATAAAAACAGATACAAAAAGTTTCTTAAGATGTTTCAAAAGAAAAGAGATAACAAGGTAAGTGTTAATCCTTTAGAAAATGAGTTTAGGGAATTAGTAATGAAGGATAAAGAGATGGCAAATATTTTTCATTGCTCTTCACTAGAGAAGATACAAGTAGCATCCCAGAAATAGCTGTAAATCAGGAATTGAAAGGGAGAAGGAACTCAGGAAAATTACAATTATCGGTGAAGTAGTACAGAGTCAATGTTGGAACTGCGAACTGACAAGTTCCCAGATCCAGATGGATTTCATCCTAGGATCATCAAAAAGATATCTAGTGTAATAGTTGATACATTTGGTTTTAATTTTCCAACATTTATTAGAGTGAATTATCAGGGATGGTTTCTTTTGATTCGAGAATAGCTAATGTAAATTATTTATTCAAAAAGACAGGAGGACAAAAAGTAAGAAACTACAGACCAATTAGCTTAACATCTGACATAGGGAAAATGTTAGAAGCTTTTCAAAGCTTTTAAGAAGATTTATAGCTCAGGTTGTGGATAAAGTTGTAGACATGCTCATCGAGCTGGTGTGTTAGATTGCTGGGGTGGTTGGCATCACTTCCAGTTCTGTTTTTTAGTGGTTTGTATATTGGGTCCAGTTCAATGTGTTTGTTGATGGAGTTCTGGTTGGAATGCCAGGCCTCCAGGAATTCCTTGGCATGTTAAAAGCTTTTCTTAAAGTCATTATAATAGGGCACTTGGATAAGTTCAAGACAGTCCGGCAGACCCAATATCCTGTTGTCAAACAGAAATCAGGTTTAATTAATTTATTGGAGTTCTTTGAACTTGTGCTGTAAATAAAAGGGAGCCAGTGGATGTATTGTATTTAGATTTATAGAAGACATGTGATAAGATGCTGCATTAAAGGTTATTGTGGAAAATAAAAGCTTGTGGTATGGGGGTTACACATTGGCATGGATAGAAGATTAGCCAAATAACAGGAAGCACAGAATAGGAATATTGGGTCTTTTTTTTAAGGCTCGCAAGAGTATGAGTAGTGTGCCACAGAGGTTGGTGCTGGGGCCTCAACTCTTTACAATTTATGTAAATGATTTGGATAAAGGGATTGAAGGTATGGTAGCTAAATTTGCTGACAGGAAAGTGAGTTGTAAAGATGACATAAGGAGTCTAGAAAATAATATAGTTAGGTTAAGTGAGTGGGTAAAGATGGACAACAACGTGGAAAAGTGGGAAATTGTCAATTTTGGCAGAAAGAATAAAAGAGCATATTATCTAAATGATGAGAGGTTGCAAAGATCTAAGATGCAGAGAGATCTGGGTGTCCTCATGCAAGAATCATAGAAGATTTGGTGTGCAGGCAGATTAAGTAATCAGGAATGATAATAGAATGTTATGGTTAATTGTGAGGGGAATTTAATACAAGAGCAGGGAGGTTATCCTTCAGTTATACGTGGAATAGGTGATATTGCATCTGGAATACTGTTTACTCTACTAATAGATGGCTGTTAATGAATTGGAAGCATTTCAGATAAGGTTTAGTAGACCCGGATGAGTGGATTGCCTTATGAGAAAAAGCCAGATAGTCTTGTACCCTGTGGAGTTGAGAAGGGTCAGCGATGACTTATATGTTTCAATTAAGATTTTGCATGATGTGGATGTTGAAAGGATGTTTCATGGAGAATCTAGAAGTAGGGGAGAAAGTTTAAAAATAAGAGGTGCCCATTTAAAACAGAAATGTGGAAACTGGTTTTTCTCTCAGAAGGCTGAGAGTCTTTGGAATTCCTTTTTTCAAAAGACAGTGGATGCAAAATCTTTAAATATTTTTAAGGTAGAAGTCAATTACATAGAACAACAACATAGAACAACATGGAACAGTACAGCACAGTACAGGCCTTTGCCCCACAATGTTGTGCCGACCTATTATCCTACTAAGATCAATCTACCTGGCAAGCCCTACATTTTACTATCCTCCATGTGCCTATCCAAGAGTCGTTTATAAGTCTCTAATGTATCTGACTCCACTACCACTGCCGGCAGTGCATTCCACACGCCCACCACTCTCTGTGTGAAGAACCTACCTCTGACATCTCCCCTATACCTTCCTCCAATCACCTTAAAATTATGCCCCCTCCTAACAGTCATTTCCGCCCTGGGAAAAAGTCTGTGACTATCCCCTCTATTTTGCCTCTCATCATCTTGTAAACCTCAATCAAGTCACCTCTCATCCTTCTTCGCTCCAATGAAAAAAGCCCTAGCTCCCTCAACCTTTCCTCATAAACCCTGCCCTCCAGTCCAGGCAGCATCCTGGTAAATCTCCTCTGCACCCTCTCTAAAGCTTCCACATCTTTCCTGTAATGAGGTGACTGGAACTGAACACAATATTCCAAGTGTGGTCTAACCAGAGTTTTATAGAGCTGCAACATAACCTCACAGCTCTTAGACTCAATTACCCTGCCAATGAAAGCCAACACACCATACGCCTTCTTTACAACCGTATCAACTTGGATCGCAAATTTGAGGGATCTATGGATGTGGACCCCAAGATCTCTCTGTTCCTCCACACTGCTAAGAATCCTGCCATTCACCCTGTATTCTGCATTCAAATTCAACCTTTTCTTGATTATTCTTGATTACCATGGGGATGAAAGAATATCAGGGATATGCAGGAATGTAGTGTTGAAGTTAAAATCAGGTTAGCCATGATGTTATTGAGTGGTGGGGCAAGCTCAAAAGGCTGACTTGCCTACTCTCATTCCTTTATGTTGAATGACTTTCCAGAAGTATATTTGGAGATGAATTAATCCTTACCTGTCTAGAAGCCACAATCAGTGGTCATCTGACTTTGGCAACGATTTTGGGAGAGTATGTTCATGATTCTTCCATTCTTTTTAAAAGCATGGAAACTAGATTGAATAGAGTTCATATCTTAAAAGTATGAATATGAAATGCCTTCACAGGGCATGACAGACATTTGGTGAAGTACCATATTGATAGGTCTTTCTGTTGAAAGAAGTATATGATGATCATTTCAGTGGAATATCTTTGAGGCCAGAACTTTAAATCTAAAGAGGAAGAAAATAAAAAAACACATAATCCCTCCTACTAAAGACTTACCAAACAGAAAACCAGTAGAGGAAAGAACCCACTACATGTTAAACTATTGTGTGTGTCAGCAGCACTAACAAACTGCAAAGAACGAGAACTACACAATGGTATTGTTCATCCCCGCAGTAATCCAAAAATCACTCTCATTCTTAAATGTTCAATCAAACATGAAGCTCTCATAGATTTTCAGTGCTGCCTTTCATGACATTAGTCAAAAGTCAAGTCTCCGGCATCTTTCACAAGGTGAAAGATAAATTGAAACTTTGTTATTGTTTTTAAGTTTG